CGGGGAGACAGCCAGCAGAGCCCCTTCCAATTTTGAATCTCTTTTTTCTAAGAATAAATTAGAAATTGCCGCCCAAATATGGAAAAATCTAAGAAATTTTTTTTAGCCCAAAACTACTCTACAATTACGCATCTCAAAACAGAAACAATTGTTTAGATATTTTGGAAATATAGAAAAAAGTAAATATATCATTATTTATATTTATATCTCCTGGTGAAAGTTAAATGAGGTGAATTTTTTGATTTCACTTATTTTATTTAAATTTATCTAATGATTTTAACTGCTCACACTGTATTTAATCAATATGATTTTAATTTAAAACATTAATTTAATGAAACTTTCATTTTAGCTTATAAATCATAATATTTAATAATTTGTCTTATTTATGTAAATTTAAAAAAGTAGAATATTTTCTTGCTACGTAAAGAATAACACCCCCCTCCCTCCTCCACAGATAATGTAAATCCTAGTAACAAATATAGTATATAGATAATTGCAAAAGTAGACCGGCTATCTAGCCGGAACCAATAAGTTTGGCGGGCTCATTTTTTAATATTTTGACATAGATGTAGGGGAGACCAGAGTGAAATTTTTTTCAAAATCATCATTAATGTAATTCTATTGTATTATCATATAGAATTGATATAAATATATGGTAATAAATACTTTTTTATATTATTATATAAATATTATAAAATAAATCATATTTGTAAGGATTGATCCGACTATCTCTGATTCCACTGTCCCTAGTTGTTGATATAATGAATACCTTCTAAAAATATATTAAAACATGATATATAGAGATCAGGGCTAGTCGGTGTTAAGGGCATGTCTGTTCAGAGGATTTATTTAAAAATCAGACATGTTTAGAAATTCAAATTTAATTATATAATAACATTGTATACGTTATTTGAGGTGAAATATTTAATTTTTTTAAGATAATATGTGTATTTTAGGTAAAAATCAATTGGTTTTTACACCACAATATTAGGCAAATTATTATATTTAACTTTTCATGTTTATAGTTACATTCATTATATTTTTAAAAAGTAGTTAAGTAGCAGCGCGCTAATAAAATAAATAATTGGAAAAAAAGTAGCGCGCTACTTGTAGCGACTACTTTAACAACTCTGCTATTCGTCTTTAAGGTTTCATATTTATATATCGAGTTTAAATATAACAAGATATTAATTATATTAGGTAGACTCATGGCTAGTGGGATCAATCAAATTATATCTAAAAATATGATATATTATAAAATATTTATGTAATAATATTAAATAAGTATTAATTGGCTTCTCTTATATATTTAAAGCAATTCTATATGCTAATGTAATAGAATTAGAATTTAAAAAAAATATTTTATCATTTTGTAATTATTTATATAAATGGTATATTTCGATCAATACATTGTCTATGAAAATAATGGAATATAAATATTAATTATCTTATGAGAGATAACATAATTGAATCTACAAGCTCCGGGTTTAAAGCTTGTTGGCGCAAAAAATACTTCTGCTAGAATCAATCTTAAAAAAAAAGGATAAAATATATAAATTTCGAAAAGATGGTTTTTGATTTCATTTAATGTCAATTTTATTTTTTTTTAAACTATTCATATTTTAACCTAATATTATCGTGATAAAACATTTTGATTTTTAACTAAAAAACACATTTATCATAAATTTTTTTTAGCCTCAATGCTATTATATAATTAAATTTAAATTTGTAAACATGTCTGGTTTTTAAATATAATCCGCTGAACTGACAAGTGCCTTACGCCGACTAGGCCTGCTCTCCCCTACAATTTTGTGAAATAATATCTACTTTTTTTTGCAAGAACAGATCTCCTATGAAATACCCAAGGATACTCAAGCCGAAAAATTCTAACGAATACTAATTAGAACACAACATCCCCGCGCTCATAATAAATATTTATACCACGATTATAACAAATTACCATCATTGTCGTTTCGTATACTGATTAATATATTACTATTCGCACATAATATTATTCACGATTCCTTCACTATTGTACAAAAGCCATAAAGGCCGATATTGGCTAAATAAAACAATATATAATTTATCTAGATAGCTACTTGTAGTATAACTCAAAATGAATATTACATTCTTCGAATATATATTTTTTTAAATGTCAAGATCTATCAATAACAAAGGGATAGACTTTTATAAGAGAAACATAATAGCCTTTCAAGCTTTATTATTGGCCTCGCAAAATCGTAAACAATTAATAGGGCTTACTTCCACAATTTCTGTATAAAAATTTGACCTTGAAACATTTACTAAGCACATAAAAAAGTTTATAAATCACAAATAATGGCAAAAATAGGATGTTTGTCGCTGCTCTGAATTTTGATTTGATGTATCGCCATTTATTTTGTTATTAACTTTTGCATTTTAATTCCGGCTATTAAACTTTTTAAAGCACTTGTTATCAACGGAGCACCAAAAAATGATACAAGTTTCATCTTTAATTGATCCATAATTTGTAAGGCCAAAATTTGACCTTGTAACATTTATTATTGATAACTCACTTTCCTTTTATTTTTTTTGACATTCCGTTTGAAGAATATGGAGGATCATTTAAGGCACTAAATATTGCCTTTAACTAAAAAAATGATTGCTCGAATTTTAAATTTTGGCAAAATGACAATACTTTTCTATTTTTCCTATAACTCACGAACGGTTCATTTCGCTGATGTGCGGTTTAAAGATTCTGGAGGATCAATAAACGCACTAGAGTTGGCATAATTTTCGTAATTGAACCTCACTCTTTTTATAAATAATTAAGATAACTTCACGCTTTTAAAACAGTTATAACACAGTTGCAGTTATTGATACCGATTTGGAGATTATTAATGCACATATTGAACACTAAATAATTGCTAAGTTTCAAAATATAATCTTTTTTATTTTGGCAAAGCGCTAACATTTTTTATTTTGCTCATAACTCACTAACAGTTAATTCCGCAGGTATATGGTTTAAAGATTCTGGAGGATTAACGGGCTACACTTTCGCATAATTTTAATTGATCCTCACTTTCTAAAAATAATTCGGCCAGCTTCACGTTTTAAAACGGTTATAACGCGGTTACGGTTAGTGATACAGATATCCGGTTTGGAGAATTTTAACGCACAAATTGGATACTATAAAATTGCCAAGTTTCACAAGATCTTTTATACTTTCGGTTTTGGCAAAGTGCCAACACTTTCTTATTTTGCTCATAACTCAGTAACGGTTCATTCCGCTGCTGTCGGGATAGAAGATCAATTAACGGGTTATAAAATGGTATAAGTTTCGGAAATTGATCCTCAAGTCGTTTCGCCAGCTTAAAAATTTCACACTTTCCTTATTTTGCTTAAAACTCATTAACTTTTGATTCCGCTGATGTCTGGTTTGAAGATCAATAAAGACTCTAAATATTGGCATAGGTTTTGTTTATTGATGACTGATTTTCTAGCCTAAATATGCCTGAAAGGATGTAAATAAAATTTTGTTGTGAGATTATAAATGGTATATAGCATTGGGGTTTGGTGAATATCGCATCCGAAGGCTGCTGAATTTTTTTAGGGGGAAAGGGTAGATTATGTAGGGAGGTTTGTGCTTCCATCAAATTTTCTGTCATGTAGACGCTGACTATCTCCATCATCCGTTTGTACCGCAGTTTGTGCTCCCATATACATTGCCATAACCAAACATTCTTCCACACCTGATTTTTTCAAGGCCCATCTTCACATGGCACCATGTCAAATGCTTTTTCCAATCAACAAAGCATAATAGTTTCTTTTCCTTCGCAAGATACTCCTGTATTTGTCTCATCACAAAAATTGCATTGTCGTGTTTTCCCTTTTGTAAAAACAAACTGCATTTCATCAATTTTAATTTTTCCCTTATCCACTTCTCCAACACCTTCTCAAATACTTTCATTACATGTTCCAAGAGTTTAATAGTTCTGTAAGACTCGTAATCTAAAATATCACCTTTCCCCTTGTATAGATGAATGACTATAATCCTTCACCAATCATCGGGAATAGTTCCTTGTTACAAGTTGATTGGCCTAATTAATTACCCATTCAATCACCAAATCAGAACCTATAAACATCTGATACCACCCTGACCCGCTACCTTCCATTTTTTCACTGCTCTCTTAATTTCATCCTTGCCAAATTTACACCCTGGACTTTCTACCTTTGTTTTTTGTTCGTGTACTAGTCGGATTTTTTAATTATTTTAAAAAAATTATTAAAAATTTTTATCCTGCAAATATCTCAGGGGAATAAGGTTTACAAAGTTATATAATCGAATTTTATGATATATAATACATTAAAATATTTTTAATCAATAAAAAAAATGAATTTTAACATATTAAAACTATTATATATAGCGCCATCTATTTTTTTATGTATAAAAACCGCAATATTTTTTTAAATAAATATCCAGCCATGCTAATTGTTGAAGAAATTATTTAAAAAAATAGTAAACGGATAATATTTCTTAAAAAAATTAAAAAATAGAAGATCATATACATTTCGAAATATTAATTTCAAATTTTCAACTGACCATAAGATGACCCATATTTTAAAATAAATTAACTTTGATATTTTCGCCATAATTATCAATTAACTTAGCTATTGATATTAGATTCATAATTTGATCATATTTAGTTTTAAATTAATAAATAATTATTTAACATCAGTAAAAAGCAAAAAAAGACGTTTTTTGGACCTTTAACCCCGATTATCTCTGCTAATATAGTTGCTAATGAGCTAAAATTTTGTTCATAATCTAATGGGAACATATATAACCAGTCTACAACTTTTTATCGAAATTGAAAGAGGTCGGCCGAAAATCTTGATTTTTTTGCTCATTTGACATGGAATGACCTCTATATCTTTGTCCAAAGAAATAAAAATAAAATGAAGATAAGGTATGTTAGATATAGATATTCACAGTAATGCCAAACTCTGATCAAATACAATCATATTATATGATAATTTTATTTTTCATATAATTAAAATATTAAACATCGTTAATAATCAATAATTAATGCCTGAAATTTTTTAAATCATGCAGTTGATATAAAAGTGGTTGAAAAATCTTTCCAATTTTTAAGAGGTCCATGTTCTGGCATATAGAGAGCAGTAATTCCATCATTCCTGAGTCTACCTTGCTTCATAAGGGACTGAAATTGTTCTTTTGTAAAACGAGTGAAACCCCACTTATTTGACACCATTACCTTACAAATAATATTTAAAAATTATCAGCTATTATTTAAAAAAAATTGTTTCTAATGATTCCTTTTCTGGCAATGTCAAAATCATCTGTTTCTAATTACACTTTAATATATAAAAATAAATACTTCTTAATCCTTCACTACAAAGGTGGGGTATATAATACTTATCAGCATTTATAATCTTGGCAATAAAAAAACCTGAAGATTTATAGTAGTTTAATATTTTGTTATAAGGAATATCTATCAAATTTCAAGATAATTGATTTGATATTTTTTAAAATTTGCAATTTGTTGAGTTTAGGGTAGTAATATGTCCCTTTGTAATTAAGAAATTTTTTTATTATTAATTAATATTATTGTATATTACAAATTAATATATAAAATTGAAAAAAAATATTTTATTTATAAATTTTTAATGTTAATATTGTGACGCAAAATTTTGCAATTTTATAATTTTTTTTTCTTGTGGAGAAAAAAACTATAATGCAAGTATATAGAAAATTTAATATCATCAAGTTCTAGAAGTATTTAAAACTCCCGTAACAAAGGTGGGCTTTTACCCCAAATATTGATTAGTTATATCTCAGAACATTAAAATTTGAATATACATTTAAAAAATATTGATTATAAATACATAATCTTAATCCTAAAATAAAAAATTTTAGGGACCATCTTTTAATTATAGTATTATCACCAAAAAAATTTAAAAAATGCAAACTTTATTATATATTTTATATCAATGTTGAATAATGATAATTTTATAAAAAAATAATAATCATCAAATATTATGTAAATTTTTGTAATAACATTCATGACAAAATGTATGCATATGATCTTAGTTGTTAATTTGCTTGGTCATAAAATTTACAACCCAATTTTGTGCTCTGTCCTGCTCTGAGCATGAACCATGAGCACAAAAAAAGCACAAACCCAGCACAAAAACCTATTTATTTTCCTGCTAATTAGATTATTTGGATTTGACATGTCTGTTATATAATTATAATAAAAATAAATGATTTATTATTTAGAAATAAGTTGTTAAAATTTGGAAAATAAAATACTTAAATATGTTATTTTAAATTAAAACTGTAAATTTCAGAAATACTAATTTGAATGGGATAAACAAAACAACTTATAATAAATCACAAGATAACAAATTGTGATAATTTAAAAGAATATTAATTTCTAATGCATATAAAATACTAAGAATTCCTGAAGAGGAAAAGATTTGTTTTGACTTTTAAACGGGGTATGTATGATCAATTGCAAGAAAAATTTGGCGAAAATTTTTATTTTGCTGGAGAATTTTGAAAATTGAGTTTGTGATAAATGGCTTAGTTAATCCCCTTCCCCCCCCCCACATTAATTCTTAAATACTTTATATATAATAACAAAGTCATTAAAGTTTTGTAATATTTTTCAAAGAGAATACATGTTCGCATATTTTAAGTGTGGTATACCCATTCCTCCAATGCTGACACTACATTATATTTTGGAGAATCATAAAAAATAGAGATTTGCATATAGAGAAAATACAACTGTATTTCATACATACCAAAAAGTTTAAGATTGTAGTTTTATGATAACAAAATTAATGCATCAATTGGTGAGTTGAAAAAACCAGAAATTATAACGTTTTATAATTTAACAAAAACTGAAGTTGATCAAGTCTGCTCCATATATTCTACATCCAGAAAATCAAATAGATGGCCATTGACCATTTTTTATACTATAGTAAATATATCAATAATAAATGTACTGATATTTTATAAAGATAATAACTTATCAAATATAAAATTTTATAAAATTACTAGCAATGGAACTGATAACTCCATATATGATTAGCAGATCTGAGAACCCTAGTATATGTAGATTATTACGTAACAACATTGGGGAGGTTCTCAATATAAATGATGAAAAACATATTCCATCAAATAAAAAGGAAAGATGCTATGATTGTCTTAAAATTTGAGTTAAAATAGATCCCACCTTTGTAGTTATGGGAGTTTTTCCCAACTTTTTGAAAAGTTAATTTAGGTAAAAGTTTATTGTAAAATTATAATGCACATTAGAGATCTGCAATGCTTCATCTGAGGGCCAAGAAATAAAAAAATTGACCCATATATAAGAAAAATTTAACCAACCCTGACAAAGGATAAAAAAATAAGGCAGTATTGCAATCTGATATTTCACAAAATTTTAATACAGCCAGTGTATTAAATTTTTTTTTGAATTTTAAGCTAATATTTTGATTTATTATTTAAAAATAAATTATAAATATTAATATCTTTGTACTTTTTTAAAAAGCTGTCTAAAATTATTTATATGGATTCTCCTATGTTAAACCATCCTAAGATCCAAATAACGAAAAGTTTTATGATTCAATATTTAAATCATATCAATTAAACAGTTCAAAAATCATATAATTGAGTTTAATATTTATGTGCTACTCATATTTTTATTTCCTTTGAATCAATTTGCAAAATTCTGGAAAATGCCAAAAGATCTTGATGACTTCTAATTTTGACCTGTGCAAACCTCTGATATATGTAACATAAATATCTTATAAAGAATAAGAATTTAAATAATCAGAATTTCAATTCATTTTTATTTAAATTTGAGTTTTTCATTATTTTGGTTAATGTATAAAATAATATATGGCTTAAATTTTTTTCCTTCAAGGCCCTAAAATAATGAGAAGATTATAAAATCAAGCTAAAAGATCATTTAAGAAAATAAGTATTTAAAGTCTGTTTAAAAATAAAAAATATTCTTAATGTATAAATAACTTTAAAATATATAATAGTTTTTAATTATTCTAATATTACAATAAATATTATACCTTCTGCCTGCCAGGGAACTTAAATTTAGCTCTCCTCAAAGCCTCAATAGATTGGGTTTTATGTTGATCTTTTATTCTAACAGACATAATAATTTGACCAATATTCACTCTTGCAACTGTGCCTAGTGGTTTACCAAAAGCTCCCCTCATTCCAGTTTGCAGCCTAATATGAAAGTATATGATATTTTTGAATTTAAAAGTAATAGAATCATTTAGCAAGAGAAATTGTAAATCAAATCATATTAAAAAATAAAAACCTATCAGCTCCTGCACATGACAACATTTTATTGATACGAATTACATGATATGGATGAACACGCACTCTTAAATGGAAGGCATCTTTCCCACAATGTTTTACCTAAATAATAATTAAAATTTTCAAATAGAAAAAAAAATTTACCAGATATTTATTTGCAGATATACGAGCTGCTTCTAAGGCTTCAGATGATAACTGTTCATATTCATCTGAAACCATGTGAATACATAATGGAAACTCCATAACTGATGCTCTTTTTTTGCCCATATCGTATATCCTTATTTTAGAGTCTGAAATAAAACAAAATTAATTGAAAACTTTTGTATCATACCTGGCACACCTCTGCAAAACCTTGATTTTGGATAAGGTTTATTTTTACAATAACGATAACTTTTTTGAAAATATAAGAATATATAAATTTATACATTTACCATCTAGCTGGTCTTCTACCCATCTCGACTCAATATGTAAAAGTGAGGATTTTAAATTCCGGTATCAACTGTTAAAACTCGGGTCAACTATCTTATATTTTCAAACACTAAATAATATATCCTATTTCAATTCGAATATCGCAAAATAAAATTTTTTAAATATAGGAATATTGATTCAATACTACTTTTCCCTCTTCAGAAAATAATATAAAAGGAATATTATTGTTTAAAAAGCATAATATTTACAAATAATATATATTTTATTCATTTAAATATTTCATTTTTATATTTTTAAATGGAATTTTATTTTAAAATTTTACTAAATTAATTATAATCTAATATATATTAATAATTTCTAAAAATCTTTTAATATTTATTTAATAGCTTTTAAATAATCATTTTTGGTATTTGATAATATATTTAAATTATACCTCTCTAATATCTATATATATAATCCTCAAAAAATGTCAATCAAATTTAGCCAATAGTTTTCTTTTAAATATTATTTGTCCAATCAAAATGATTATAGCAAATTTGATCAATGGTAATCAACGTGAAAACTAAATCTTTCATTCACAAATCACTTCCATAAAAACTATACCACATCACTCTATAACCATATCATTACAAAAAAAACCATAATTTCATCTACTATTACATCTTACAGATATTTCTTATTAATATATATAATATATAATTTAATACACATATATAAAAAGTTTTTTTATAGGTTACAAAATAATGGAAAGAAAACAAAAATTTTTTTACAATTTTGATTAAAGATAATATATATAATATATAATTTAATACACATATATGAAAAGTTTTTTCATAGGTTACAAAATAATGGAAAGAAAACAAAACAAGGTAAAAATTTTTTTACAATTTTGATTTATTTTGTTTACAAAATAATTTAGTTAAGAAAGCCAACCTCAATTAACATAAATCTAGAAAAAAATTAAAATTTAAAAGATATATAATTACCTAGCTTTATCATCTGAAACCAGTAATCAGGTCAGGGGCCTTAATTAATAAATGTGGATCCACTTTTTTTAGGTTGTTTTATTTTTACAAAATAATTTAGCTAAAATCAAAATGGATCAGAATTTTCCTATTTTATGAGGTATGATTTGTAATGTATAAAATTTAAAATTGGTTTGGTCCAACACCAAGTATTATTTTTTCAGTTTCTTTATAATTATATTATTTTTTATAAATCAGAATACGCTATCTACATCAATGTCCAACAACCAAGTATAATTTTTTTTTGTAATTATTATATCAATAAAAACAAACCAGGTTAAAATTTTTAATTACCTTATAAGATAGGAAATTTTCTCTAAAATCAAAATGAATCAGAATTTTCATATTTAATGAGGTATGATTTGTAATGTATATAAATTAAAATTTTTTACATGGTTTGGTACAATATCTAAGTATAATTTTTTCAGTGATCCTATATCAATAAAAACAAATCAAGTTAAAAATTTTAATTTATATCAACAAATAAATTTATTTAAATTAGATTCCACGAATCATATTGCCGAAATGTGCCATTCAACAGACTCTTAATCTACCCAAATCAATAGAAACAAACGAAGTTAAAAAATTTAATTTATGTTATCAAATATATTTTTTTAAACTTAGATTCCACGATATATATTACCGAAATGTACCATTCAACAGAATCTTAATCTACCCAAATCACTAAAAACAAACGAAGTTAAAAATTTTAATTTATGTTAAAAAATAAATTTATTTAAATTAGATTTCACGAATCATATTATCGAAATGTACCATTCAACAGAATCTTAATCTACCTAAATCAATAAAAACAAACAAAGTTAAAAATTTTAATTTATGTTAACAAATAAATTTATTTAAATTAGATTCTACGAATCATATTACCGAAATGTACCATTCAACAGAATCTTAATCTACCCAAATCAATAGAAACAAACAAAGTTAAAAATTTTAATATATGTTAACAAATAATAATTTAATTTTTTAGCCGAGTTCAAAATCACTAATCAACTATATTATTGATTTTTAAATTTAATTATCATGTCTCTTCCTAAAATTATTTTCAAGGTCCAAATCCAAATAAGTATGAGATCTATATATATAATCCTCAAAAAACGTCAATCAAATTTAGCCAATAGTTTTGTATTAAAACATATTTGTCCAATAAAAATGATTATAGCTTAATCGGTCCAATAGTAATCACCTTACCAAGCTCAGCATTCATACACTTACCATTTCATTCACTTCACATATCAAAGCAATGGTATCCAGCAACCAACTATAATTTTTTCAGTTCTTATATATAATTATATTATTTTTATTGGATTTTTCAACAAAACCCAACTACCAATATAAGAAAAAACAAACCAAGTTAAAAATCAGAATAAGCAAAATGCATTGTTACCATCATTCCAGAGGTATGTGATGCTATATGGAAAACTTTAAAAGATATTCATATGCCAGTTCCAACTAGAGAACATTGGGAGAAGGTATTATAAATTTAGATATATTAATATATTTTTAGATTGCACAAAAATATTTTGACCTGGCTCATTAGATGGTAAGCACTTTATATCAAAGTAAATTTTTAATATTAATAAATAATTTTTAATTATTTTAGAGTTAGAAAAACCAATATCAAACACCTTAAAAAACTATGAAACCTTATCCTATGAAAAATACCAGTCCAGAAGCAAAACATTATAAGTTAAGTAGTGATTGAATGCACATTTGGCATAACTACTGATAAATTTGCCATTAATTATAAATCTATAAAGTGCTCAGTTGAAAATGCCTGTAAAATATATTATTGATTATGAAAAATACAAGAGGAATAATATATTTATTTAAAGATTATTTTAATTCTTGAATTTATGTATAAATTTAACATTTGATATCATTATATATTAAACTAGCTGATAGCCCATCAAGATTAATGGGGAATAATTTTCTCCTTTATTCAATGATGGATAATTAGAAATTTTCTTATTTAATGGGATCTTATTCAGAAATTTATATTTATTAAGATCAGGGGTTATTTTAAAATTTTTCTAAAATTGCAAATAAATGAATCTAAATTTAGTTCAAATGATTTTTTATTGTGCACATAAATTAAAATTACCAATGATGGGCTAAATATAATTAGCACTGCCTAACCTACTATTGACTCTTAACCAAGTTCAAGAATCTATGAGTCATAAGTATGGATTCTTCCTTTTATCTGTCTATTTAAATTTTTAATTTTTATAGGTAAATTTTAACTATATAGATGAATAACAATAAAAAATACAAATTCTCTTTCACCTAATAACCTATCCTTTCAATAAAAGAGGTAACCTTATTTTCCATATTCTTTTTAATTTAATATTCATTTTTTTTAAAATTCAACCAATAAAGGATATGTAATAATTTGTTCTATTAAGCACTAACAAACCTATCATTGAACCCTTAACCAATACAAAAATTTTCATGACTCAGTTATATATTTTTCATTTTATCAGACTTTAGATTTTTATAAGTAAATTTATACCCTATTTTTTTGTGACATAATAATTTACTATGTTATTTATATATTAAGTTATCTATATTATTTTATATAGATAAGAATAACAATAAATTCTCTTATACATAGGAATCTTATCTTTTCAAAAAAATATGATATTCTTTTTTATACACTTATTTTAAGATAAGTCAATTTAAATTATATCTCACAACAGAGAATCAAATTCAATAATATAAAATTTACATCTATTATTCTATTCAAACAAAATAATTTAATTACTAATTGGCTTTCAACTATTCTTTTGTAAAAAGTTAAATTTAAAAAAATTAATATTTTAAATAGCAATAAATAATAATTAAACAAAAAAGTTAAATTTAAAAAAATTAATATTTTAAATAGCAATAAATAATAATTAAACAAAATATAAAACCTTTTTAGAAATGAGAATAGTTGGAGGCAAATGAATAATATAATCATTTTGTTTGTATAGATGTAAATTATATTTTTAAATTTGATCCTTTCTCTCTCTCTGTTAGATTTAATTGAAATGGACTTATCCTAAAATAAATAGAAAATAAGATTGGATTCCTAGGTATATTGCTTATCTATATAAAATAATATAGATAATTTAAAAAATATATAAATAACATAGTAAATTAATATGTTACGCAAAATTAGGGTATAAATTTACTCATAAGATGAAGTAGCTATGATTTTTACAAATGATGATGGTGAACCCCCATTTGAACGGGATATCAAGGTCTATCCTCGAGTTGATGGTAGTGATCTGATAAATATAAATATATTAAGCCCTAATCTTGATCCAATGGTATATCCTCTATTATTTCCTTTTGGTGACCCTGGTTGGAAACCAGATTTAAAGGGTGAAGATGCAGGGCGTACAAGGGCAAATATCTCACTACTACAGTTTAAAATATTTAGATTAACAATTCGTGAAAATGAAATAAACCCAATCCTTTTTGTTGGGAAATTATCACAACAATATATTGTTGATTCCTATTTACAGGTCGAGGCGAATAATTTAAATTTTATTAGACAAAATCAGCCAAAATTACGAGTAGATAAATATTCTGGATTAATGGACTATTTGGAAACAAAGTCAAACAATATAATTCCCGGTAAAGCAGTAATATTACCATCATCCTTTCAAGGTTCTCAAAGAAATATGCGAGAACGCTATCACGATGCAATGGCCATTGTGCTCAAATTTGGCAAACCTGATTTGTCTATTACTTTTACATGCAATCCTAATTGGCGTGAAATTAAGGAAAATCTATTTCCCGGGCAAAGTCTTGCAGATAGCCAGATTTAATAGCCCGTGTTTTTAAATTGAAATTAAATGAATTATTGTTCGATATAAATAAAAAAAATATATTTGGTAAATCTATGGCTTTTATATATACAATCGAGTTCCAAAAAAGAGGTTTGCCTCATGCCCATATACTTATTATTTTAAACGATGATAGCAAAATTGAAACATCTCAAGCTATAGATAAATTTGTTTGTGCCGAAATGCCAGATGAAATTCTCGAACCTAAACTTTTTCAGATTGTTACCCATTTTATGATACATGGTCCTTGCGGGATATTTAACCCCAAATCGCCTTGCATGGAAAATGGCATATGTACCAAAAAATTTCCTAAGGATTTTCAAATGGAAACAAGACCAAATATTGATGGGTATCCATATTATAAAAGGCGAGATAATGGTATTACAATTCTTTCCGGTAAACCTACGGATAATCATTATGTTATTCCATATAATCGATATCTAATGTTAAAATTCAATGCTCATATTAACGTGGAAATTTGTACATCTATTAAATCGGTAAAATATATCTTTAAGTATATTTATAAGGGCTATGACTGTACTAATGTTGACATTAATGTTGCTTCAAATATAAATATTTATGACGAAATTAAATCACATTTAAATGCGCGATATGTGAGTGCATGTGAATCAATGTGTAGATTATTAGAAAATAATATGCATGACCGCTCGCACGCTGTTATTCGCTTAGGAATTCATTTACCTTTACAACAGCCAGTATATTTCACTGCTGGACATGAAAGAGATGCTTTATTGAGATCAGAAAATAAACATACTACTTTAACGGCAAGGTTTGAGTTAAATAAGACAGATCTAGATGCTAGACAATATCTTTATGGGGAAATACCTTATCATTATGTGTTTACAAATTACCATTGGAAACTAAGAAAAAAACGATTAAATGTAATTTCGAGAATGTATTCCGTTCATCCTAATTCTGGTGAATGATTCTTCCTTCGATTATTATTTCTTCATGTTTGCGGGGCTACAAGTTTTGATTATTTAAAAACTATTAATGGAATTTTAATGAGTACTTTTAAAGAGGCAGCTATTAAAAGAAATTTGTTATCAGATGATAAAGAGTGGGAATCATGCTTAGAAGAGAGATCAATATATAAAATGCCGCACAACTTCGCCTTTATCTGCATTTTTTGTCAGCCTGAAAATCCTGCATATCTATGGAATAGGTTCAGATTTATGATGATTGAAGATTATTTGCGTCAATATTCAGAAGTAATTGCAATAAACATGGCTTTAATCGACATTGAAAGCGTTTTTCTTGATCATGGTTTATGCTGTCAAAGTTTGATCTTCCTTCACCTACAAAATTCCCCCAAAACAACATTATGATGCCCATGTTGAAGCTGCCGATATCAATCGAGCGTATATCTAAATTAAACATATTACAAAAATATGCTTTTGATTTAATTATACAAGCGATTGAATTAGAAAATATTCCAGAAAGATATTTCTTCGTGGATGGCCCTGGAGGTTCAGGTAAAACGTATCTTTACAATACCTTAATGTGTTATATGAGAGCAAAAAATCAAATTGTATTTCCTTTAGCAACCGCCGGCATATTCTCTATTCTTTTAAAGGGGGGAAGAACCATCCATAGCGGATTTAAATTACCTGTGCCTATCTTTGAAACTTCTACATCCCATATGAATTTACATAGTTCGCTAGCTCTAGATATTAAAAATAGCAAATTGATTATTATTGATGAGGCCACAATGATGACTAAACAAAACACGCTTTGCGATGCATTGACCGATTACTTAAAGACATTATGAAAAATTCCCACCCATTTGGCGGAAAAGTTATTTTATTAGGTGGTGATTTTAGACAGACTTTATCAGTAGTGCCTAAAGGCTCCAAAGTGTATATTATAGAGTCCTGTATAAAAAGTTCAGATTTATGGAGCCTTTTTAAAATAATACATTTGATTGATAATATGCGTATTCCATCAGAGCAAGTTGATTACAATGCTTGGTTACTTAAAATTGGAGATGGGCAGGCTATCAAGCAGCAATTCTGATCTTCCTACAAATAGTGTTGAAATCCCACCTTATTTGCTTGAAAATGATTCATTAATAAAATGTGTGTATGGTAATTCTATAGAAATTGCTGATATAGATAGTCTTTCAACTAAAATAATATTAACCACCAAAAATAAAATTGCACTTACCCTCAACAACGATATCATTAATAAAATTCAGGCCCTATCAAACATTATTATAGTGCAGATTCCATTGAAAGCGATAATAAGGATGATATAATAAATTTTCCAATAGAATTTTTGCATTCACAAACTCCATCCGGTATGCCACCTCACAAGCTAACACTTAAGGTTGGTACAATTGTTATGCTATTACGCAACTTGAGCCCAAAGAAAGGACTTTGTAATGGTACCCGTTTAATCATACGACATTTACATATTAATTTTATCGACGCTGAGGTATTGACAGGCACTAATAAGGGTTATCGAGTTTTTCTCCCACGAATAGATCTAGCTCCAAATGACTCTCAGTTACCATTTACTTTAAAAAGACGACAGTTTCCTATAATTCCCGCTTTTGTGATTACAATAAATAAAAGTCAAGGACAAACTTTTAATCATGTAGGCTTATTCCTCCCTGAGCCCGTCTTTGCCCATGGACAACTATATGTGGCTCTTACTAGATGTAAATCTCAAAATAATATGAAAATTATGATTTTGCCATCAGAATAACAAGGAAAAATTTTAAAAAATGATAAAACATTCACACAAAATATCGTATATAATGAAATCTTAAATTCATAATTTGTAAGAAATTTAAAAAGTCACCAACTTTGTTATTCACCATCAAATCACCAACTTTACATCATCTTCAAAAACGAAACCACATTGAGCAAAGAAAAGAGAAGTTCTTCACCATCGCTAAACCATCTTCCTCACCAACAACAGTAAATTCTATTTTATAATTTCAATTTACACGTTTTTTTTCAGGTTATTTACGGCAAACTACGAGCAAGGAAATTATAACATCATCTTCAAAAACGAAACCACATTGAGCAAAGAAAAGAGAACTTCTTCACCATCGCTAAACCATCTTCCTCACCAACAACGATAAATTCTACTTTATAATTTCAATTTACACGTATTTCAGGATATTTACGGCAAACTACGAGCCATGGCAAAACATTAACAAATAAAAGTCAAGATACGGTGATATACCCGACTAATGCTTAAAATTCTTACATCCCTCTCAATTTTGAAAATATTTTAAATCTCCTTTTTTGGGTAAAATTTTATATATTATAAAATTTATTATATTATATTTTTTATATGGCTACAAATTCATATGTGTTGTAACCCGATAATCATCAACTCTTGAAGTATAAATATTTATTATATTTTCTTATAATTCATATCTTTGTCTCTTTTTTTCTATTTCTTCCTTCTTTTTTTCATTTCTTTGCTCCCCTAAAATCCATCTCCTACCTTCACGCGGTGGGGAGTGAACAGCAATTCTGACTAACAGGAGCTCTGGTAAATAATGTTAGTATTTAGGGTGCTAATAAGAGATATTGTTTCATTTTTGTAATTTTAAATATAAATTTCTAAATCACATCTCAAATTATAATTCCCCGTCATTCTTGACGGGTGATCAGTAGTGTTGTTAATCAGCTTAGCCGAGTCGGCTCGAACAGAGCTCACCCAAATTTTGGGTCGTTTTTTTTGACTCCAACTCAAAGTATTGGTCGTTTTTTTACGACTTCGACCCGAGTTCAAGCCGAAAAAAACGACTTAGACCCAAAATATGGGTCGTTTTTTTCGACTCCGACCCAAGTCCAAGCCGAAAAAAACGACCTCGACCCAAAATATGGGTCGTTTTTTACGACTCCGACTCAAAATTTGGGTTGTATTTTTCGACTCAAACTTGAAATTTGGGTCGTATTTTTCGACTCAAACTTGAAGTTTGGGTCATATTTTTCGACTCAAACTTGAAGTTTGGGTCGTATTTTTCGACTCCAACTCAAAGTTTGGGTCGTTTTTCTGACTCAGACTCAAACATCGGGTCGTTTCATTCAATCCGACCCAAAATATGGATCTTTTTTTTTAAAGACGACTTAAAGTTAGGGTTGCTTTTTTTCACCCCTAACCCAATATCTAGATCATTTTTTTCGACCAAAAGTCAAATAACATTTAGTATATATTAATATTTTAGGCAGGAAAGTTACTTAAAACTTCTTTAAATTATAATGCTCTGATTAACTATTCATCATAGTTATATTTTAAAATTTTTAAGTGAAGATTTACCATAGAAAAGTGCCATTTGTCATGATGGTTATTTTTGAACTTTTTCAAATGAAATAGATAAAAATATATATTGTAGACATGTTAAATCAAAATTTTGAGTCGAAAAATACGACCCAAATTTCAAGTTTGAGTCGAAAAATACAACCCAAATTTTGAGTCGGAGTCGTAAAAAACGACCCATATTTTGGGTCGAGGTCGTTTTTTTCGGCTTGGACTTGGGTCGGAGTCGAAAAAAACGACCCATATTTTGGGTCGAAGTCGTTTTTTTCGGCTTGAACTCGGGTCGAAGTCGAAAAAAACGACCCAAGCATAGAGTCGGAGTCGAATAAAACGACCCGAGCTTTGGGTCGGGGTCGCGACTCGCGGCGTTTTAACAACACTAGTGATCAGTGTGATGCTAATATGAGATATTTTTTCATTTTTATTCATTTTTGTAATTTAAAATATAAATTTCGAAATCACATCTCATAAAATAGGAAAATTTCTGATTCATCCATCATCAAATAAAGGTAAAATATATTATTCATCAATCATTGAATAAAAAAGACAATTCATCACTCTTAGTCTTAATGGGTTGGAATTGGCCTGAAGGAGGAGGGGGAGGGGTAAAAAGAATTATCGTAAAAGAACGAATAAAATTCTCACCCCCGTCATTTTTGACGGGTTATCAACTAGTTATAATATAGTTTATTAACTATTTAATAGCATAAAAACTAGAAATCTGCAAAGCTCGGCCTGGCTCTAATCAGCCCGTTAAAAATTTTTGATTTGATGCTCGGTAGAAAATTTTATAGACTAGTATGTTAATTTTTATAAAAACAACTTATTATTATGATTTAAAATGTACTAAATTATATATTATTTAATAATTTTAATGCATTAATAGTAAATATATAAAATTGGTCATTTCTCTTTAGACTTGTCTTTGGCTTATATTTCATATCTTAAATAATATCTATAGTTTATCACTTTTTTTATATATACATGTTCCAAAGAAATATGAACTATAGTCATTAGTTTTAGTTTAAGACATTATGGACTTTTACATTCTTTCTATCTAATTATTGTTTAAAATATATGCATACATTTTTGGGGGAGGGTGGTGGGGAGGGAGCTTAGGAAGATATTTTTTATTATCTTAGAATAATATTCACAAAAAGAAAGTGACATATTTTTGGGGAAGGGGGGGAAGGGTATTCCTCCAAACCCACTGGCTACGCCTTTGGTTATCTTATTATAAAATAAATACAAACTGCATGCCATTAAATAAAAATATCACTTCTTTCTAATACTAAAAACCTTTAAATCGGGTGAAATATTTTCCTGAGGAGTAGGAAAAAATAGGAACAACTTCTTATTATACCCTGGAGTCTTATAACTCTTTTACAATATAAAAACCTATAATTTGTTTGAAAAATAAGTTATTAAAAATAATATCATTGCTTGGAACTCCTTTATAATATAAAAATAATCCAATTGAAAACATAATTAAAAATTTTTCATTATTTTTTATCTTAAAAATGAATATAAGTTCGTCGAATTCCTTATTATACTCAGGATATTCAAACTCGTTTCTATTACTAATGCTTAACTCAGCTCAAAACAGAATATTTTATTCATATTTTTATTTCCCTTGTAGACTAAAAATAATAATAACAGTGCCAATTTCTTACGAATCCCAACGATCTTATAACTATATCAAAAACATTTAACATGGCTTATATAGTTATTTAAAATCTTTTGATATTTTGTTTTGTGTAGGAAATTATATAAGAGAATTTGTTTTAAGATCAAAAGACCTAAGAGATTTTCTCTTATACCAATTTTTCTTAACCGAGCTCAAAACAGATATTTGATTTTTTATATATATTTTTTTATTTTCTTTGGAGAATGAGAAAATAATTGTGCCAATTTCTTATTAGACACAAAGGTCTTATTATTTTTTCTAATATCAAAAACATTTATCTGATCACATAAAGTTTTTAGAATTTTTTTATTTTTTATTATTTCGTGGAGTAAAAAATAATGACAGTGCCAATCTATTACTAGAACCAAAGGACTTAGAACTTCTTTATAATACCAAAAACTTTAGCACAATAAATTTATATTTTTAATGTTAGGAAAATAAAAAATAAATGAAGGGCCAATTTTCTATTTGTACCTAAAAGTCTCAAAACATTTTTCTAATATCAAAAATCTTTAACTCGTCTAAAAACAAATTAGTTAAAATATCTATATATTTTTACCCATTGTTAACCCAACGAATTGACATTATAAATAGGTTCAATAGGCCAATTTAGTCGAATCGGGTTTTATTTATGTGTCAATGGATTGGAGGGCTAGGGTCTATTTTTGGGCTCAAAACTTGCTCGGTTTGGGCAAAACCGCTTAACCCATCAATTTAATAACTCTATATTGCTATACCCCGAGTTTTAATTTTTTTTATCATATAATACCGAAATTTAATTTCGATCATTATTCTCATGTGTCAAAATTTAAAATGCTGAATATTTGATTTTTAGCAATGCTGTTAGAACTACTTTTAAAATGTAGCTCACTATAACTTAGGTAACTTTCCAATTATTTTAGCTACTATTTTACTAAAGAAATAGCGCGCTATATCTAAACTTTAAATGTAGAATAGCTATTTAAGAAGCTACTTTTAAAATTATGTTGAAATTTATTTTCCTTAAATATTAGGATAGCGAATAAATAAAATATTGCCTCCTCATTTATATATTTTTTTATAATTGTATATTAAATTTTTATTTCAATTTTAAATATAATAATAATATCTCAGTAAAATATTTTTATAATAAACTATTAGTTATATAGAATTTAATTAATATATTTTGCATTTGCTGTTAAGAGAATATATTTCTAAAAGTTTATCTTTTTCATAAAAAACATCCTTTACTAACTATTTAATGTCTTTACAATATAAGTGGGTGGGATTACTTTTTAACAATATGTGTCCACCCAATGACATATAATAATACCTAGACTGACGATTCATTCATTAAAAGTGTACATCAATACAAATCAGCTAGAGACGCCATCTTGGTTACTGTAATAAATATTAAAATTTTAAACGAGAGCCTAATTTTATATTATATCTGATGCAAACTTTATTAAAGAATTGCCTGATCATCGAGATAATAAGAAAGTAAGTTATCAATTTAATATTAGTTTTTAACATGAAAATAATTATTATAAAGATTACCAAAATGGCGGGTCCAGCTGATTTGCTTTTAACGATGCTTAAAAATGCATTTTAATGAATGAATCGTCAGTCTAGGTATTATTATATGTCATTGTGTCCACCCTTTCAATTTCGAATATTAAAAAATACCAAAAAGATAAATGAGCTAAAATGGCGTCCAATATAGCTCTAAATAAGTTTGAAGCGAGAGAATTTAATATTAAAA